AAAGAACATATAAGTTAACTATTGGAGTTAAATTGTGCCGATAGTTCTATACGCTCTCCCAAAACAATAGTAACATTACGAACGTTTGTTTTGAATTATCCTGTTTGTGCTACGTTACACCCGATCTTACAATATTATTTGATAAAGATCACCTGATTGCGCTCTTTTTCGCCACCACTAAGCTACTCGTCATTTACCATCCCTGCCATAAAATGCCGCTATTTTGTTACTAGTATTAATTATATGGACTAAATGCCATAGCGCGCCTTTAATGAAGACGTGTTGATTAGAATTACTATTTTAAAAAGTGAGCTTCGCTAATAATAAAGAATAAATAATTTTACTAGATTTTTTTGATTTTATTTCCAATCATATGAATGCCTTTCTATAAACATTCCAGTGGGAAAATCGTTCCAGTAAGATTTCTCACTAGAACTACTGGAACTCTGGAAGAACCTGGACATCCAGTGAGGTTCCAGAATTCCAGTGCCATCACTGACAGCCAATCATAGGATTCGGAAATTTAGGATTCGGTTTCGAGGTTTCGAAAAATTCAAAACTAGTTTCGGGTAGATTTCGTTTCGAGTGCCAAGTATACAGGCGCCTGTTCTCCCGTGACAACACTGCACATTTATACTTACACGGCATCACAGACGAGAATAAGAGTACCACGATAAGTTACCAGTAAGTTACCAGATTACTATTAATTCCTGCTAACATTAAGACAAAGTGGCCAGACAATTTTTTTGTAACTTACAGTAGCATACCAGTAACTTACCGTAATTTTACACCCCTGTATGTAAAATTGTTGAGGGTCCGTAGAATACTGTAAACAACTACTACTTTAATATTTCCCGTATAAAATGCATAATGATTTAGACCGTACAAATACAATTCGTTTTTTGAGTAGATTAAAACAATTAAAAGTATTTATTCACTAATTTTTAACACGTGAATTTATTATCATACATTACAGCATTATTATTATTGATATTATTGCTATTCTATATTATTAAAGAATTTATAAGACTAGTTCAATAAATAAAAAGCCATCGAACACACAAATAAACCAACATATATTAAATTAGCAGTAACAACGTTGCGGAGAGCACTTGATGGCAAACCAGAAGGAATGTTGTAGTTAGGAGTGGTGTATGCATTATAAGAAGGAGTGGCACTAGCAGGTAGGACATAAGGAGTACTAGCACTAGCACCAGGATTATAAGCAGAAGCATCAGCAGCAGGCCAAGTAGGAACAGTGCCAACAGGAGCAGTGTCAGTAGGAACAGTGCCAGGAACAGTGCCAGTAGGAACTTCAGTAGGTGGATTAGTAGCAGGTTCTTGGACTGCGGAGGGAGGAGCAGTGCCGGCAGTGGTAGGGAATTTAGGTGGTTCATAAGTTGCTATTTGGATAGATTTGGTACATTAATAATGACAAAACTTGAAGAAACGCTTAAATGTAAGAACTTACCTCCTTTGACAAGAACAAAGCACAACAACAAATTCAACAGGCATAATGCCAAAATTGAGTTTCTCTTTGAAAAGCTCATCGTGTTTTATCGATTTGACACGAAAAATTTACTAAAATGACTTTGCACTAATTTTGATTCAGGAAAATGTTTCTGGTAAAAAGTGTTAATATTAACTATTAAGAGATTACTTGATACCAAGCTTTATAGCGTTGTGAGAGATAAAAAGTAGAAAATACAGCTTTTTTATACACGAACATGACGAAGAGTTGCGTGTAGATAAATGAATTGTATGCAACGATCACCATCGGGAAGTGCAATATTTACATTGGTCATCATTAAAGATTTAACAATTATTCCATATTGAAAATATAAAGGCAAAGCTTTTGATTACAAATTAGGATGTAATAAGAGGCCTATTAGGCATATCTTATTTTAGACTAGTCGCGAGTTTCCATACAAAATATGATGATTGACATCTATAATAAGCATTTGTGGCCTTTGAACTTAACGTTATAATTATAGCATATGATCATCTCAGGAATCATCTGTCGGTACTGGCTTGGCGGTGTTATCCATGTGATAATTAGTCTTAATTGATGATCCAGATAAGATCGGCAGAAGTTCTATATTAGGATGATGGGTATAAATTTTTATACGTAAGACCGAGTAATCTATAAATAGCTAGAAAATCTTAATATATTACTACTATATAAACGGGGGCGTCTAAAGCAGAGTAGATTCTTATAATATATATTTTGTTGAATTAACTTTTAGGGTTAGGGTCATTTTATATTAGAGTTAGGTTAGGTTTTAGGTGATTATATATAAGCAAAATTGCTTTCCGACATTTTTAATTAACCCACCCGAGGTAGATTCAGACTGCCGTTTTTTATATTTTTCAGGTTTCTTGTTTTGCTTCGCCGGCGATCATCAATGGTCGAATGCCACATGATCCTGCTCCGCTTTAGACGACCCCTAAAAACGGAAGTGAATCTGCTTTACTAAAAATAGGTGGTCTAAAGCCTGGCACCTTCCGGTTTCCGATTTTTAATTAATATTAGGGTTAGAGTTAGACATAGGCTAGGAAGTTAGTAGATATAGCCATTTTGTATATTTTCGTTTTTGTCTTTGTCGTTTGTACGGAATAATTCGGGACGCATATCGGGTAGTTTGGTAAGGTGCCAGGCTTTAGACGACCCCTAAAAATAGAAAAGATCTGTAAAATGTCAAAAATACGCAAACTAAAATGTAACCTATCTATAAATAGCTCGGGATCCTATTTTTATTATATTCTGGAGTCTGGGATTAGTCACTATTATAAGTAATTTTTTGTTAACAGTACTTTGACTTCTTATAAAAGTTGTAGAGAATGTTCTTGCGGTTCTAGTGATGGTAAGAACATTAAAATTGTCGTGAGATATCTAAAAAAACGCTTCCCGATAAAAATTTCTACACATGATCGGGAAGTTTTTTACCGATATTTCACGATGTGCCAATTTTAATTTTCTTACCATCATTAGAACCGCAATAACATGCTTTACAACTTTTATTAGAAGTCAAAGTAATGTTAATAAAAAATTACTCATCATAAATAGTGACTAATCCCCGATGCCAGCATATAATTATAGTACGAATTTGCCCTAAATTCTAATATAGCAATCATGCCAATCTTATCTGGATCAACAATTAAAATTATTTCGACAATAATGAATAATACCGTAATGTAAAAGATTGCAATCATAATTATTTCATTGTCCAAACACTTAAAATTGGGCCGATCCAGACAAATTGGTCTCGTATAATTCATCTTTTTTTAATGATATGTGCGTGATTAATGAAATTACAACCGTAGATCATTATTTTTTGTATTCTTGTGTCTGGACAATTATCTACATTCATCCATTATCTTTATATACTAAAATTTTTTAACAATTTATTTTTAGTTAAGTAATTATGCAACCTTATTGTTATGTATATTAATTTTCATAGGAATAAAAAGATTAATTTTTATGCTCTTTCCGTGATCACCCGTGATAATTAACCATTCAAATCGGTAAAAATTTTGCCAATCAATTAGTTGCTCGATTAACTTTAGGGTTAGGGCCGCTTTAGATTAGGGTTAGGGTTAAGTTAAAAGCATTTTCTATATATAAAATCACCTCGACATTTTTTATTGCACCAAAGTAAAATTTTAAAATTTTCTTGTTTTGCTTTGTCGGATCAACAAATTTGATTGGTGGTTAATCACATGGTTTTCCCCGCGTTAGAATTTTAAAATTGGGCGTCTAAGGCCACGTACCCACGTGACTTTTTTGTGTAAATCGAATTGCGAAATTTTGTTTACACGGATCAGCCCGAAGAAGTCAAAAAGACGAAAAACAGCAGTCTAATTAAAAATGTCGGGAAGCCAATTTTACCTATACTCCTCTTCTTATATCAACACCCAACTAACCCTAATCCTAACCTTAATTTTAATTAGCCTATTAAAACGTCAAAATCACGTGGATACATGGAGTAGATTAGAGGGTCCACCAAAATTCAGCAAATCGGCCCGAATTTGGGTCGGAATAGGCCGGAATTAATAAATTT